AAAGCACAAACACAAAAGAAAAATTAGATAAATTGGACTTCTGTGTTTCATAGGATACCATTAAGAAAGTGAAAAGTGTTTATACATCTTAAATTTACACAATGGTACATGTCAGTTAAATCTCCATAAAGCCAGGAAAAAAGTGAAAAGAACTCTAAAAATGGGAGAAAATTACAATCCATGTATCCAGTAAGAGATTTTTATTCAGAATATATAAAGAACTTTTATAACTAAGTAATAAAAAGATAAATAACCAAACTTAAAAATGGGCAAAAGAGGGGTGCCTGGGGGGCTCAGTCAGTTAAGTGTCCACCTTTGGCTCAGGTCATGATCTCACAGTTAGTAGGTTTGAGCCCTGCTTCAGGCTCTGTGCTGACAGCTAGCTCAGAGCCTGAAGCCTGCTTTGGATTCTGTGTTTCCCTCTCTCTCTGACCCTCCCTTGTTCATGCTGTCTCTCTCTCTCTCAGAAATAAATAAAACATTAAAAAAAATTTTTTAATAAAAAAATAAATTTAAAAAAATGAGCAAAAGATCTGGATAGACATCTCTCCAAATAAGATGTACAAATGACTAATGAGCATATGAAAAGATGCTTAACATCATTAGTCATTAGGTAAATGCAAATCAAAACCACAGTGAGAAATTTGTGTGGAATCACAAAAGAATACTAATAACCAAAGCAAAATCTTGGGAAAGAACAAAGCCGGAGGCATCATCACGCTTCCTGATTTCAAAAGGTATCGTACTTCTTGATTACGAGCTGTCATATAAAGTTATGAAAACCAAAACAATATGATATTGGCATAAAAACAGATGCGTAGATCAGTTGGAAGGAACCTAGACCCCTGAAATAAACCTATATGTAGATGGTAATTAATTTATGATAAAAGAGCCAAGAATATGTAATAGGGAAAAAACAGTCTTCCTAATAAATAGCATTGGGAAAACTAGACAGCCATGTGCAAAAGAATTAAGCTGGACCAGTATCTTATAGCAAACACAAAAATTAAATAGATTAGAGTTGAATGTAAGACCAGAAAGTATAAAACTCCTAGGAAAAAAAAATAGGTGGTAAGGTCCTTGACATTGGTACTGGTAATGATTTTCTGGATTTCACACCAAAAGCAAAGGTGACTAAAGCAAAAATAAAACACATGGGACTACATTAAACTGAAAAGCTTCTGGATAGCAAAGGAAACCATCAATAGAATGGAAAGGCAAGCTAGTAAATGGAAGAAAATATTGGCAAATCATATATCTGATAAGGTGCTAATATCCAGAATATATAAAGACTTAATACAGCTCAACTGCAAAAAAAAAAAAAAAATCTGATTTAAAATTGTGCAGAAGATCTGGATAGATATTTTTCCAAAGAAGACAGATAGCCAACAAGTACTTAAAAAGGTGCTCAACATCATTAATCATCAGTGAAATGCAAATCAAAACCAATGAGATATCATATTGCACTTGTTAGAATAACTATTATCAAAAAGTCAAGAGAGCAAGTATTGGTGAGGATGTGGAGAAAAGGGTACCCTTGTGCACTGTTGGTGGGAATACAGAAATGCATTGGGGTAGCCACTGTGAAAAACATCATGGAGGTTTCTCAAAAATTAAAAATAGAACTACCATATGATCCAGCAATTCCTAAGGAAATGAAAACACTAATTGGAAAAGATAGCTACATCCTCATGTTTATTGTAGCATTATTAACAGTACCAATGGTATGGAAGCAACCTAAGTGTCCATCTTTCGCTAAACAGATAAAGCAGATGTGGTGTATATATACACAATGGAATATTGTATTAGGAAAGAAAGAAAGACATCCTGCTATTTGTGACAACATGCAAGAAACTTGAAGTCATTATGATAAGTGAGGAAGGTCAGAGAGAGGTAACTACTTTATGATCTCATGTGTATGTGGAACCTAAAAAAAAAGAAAAGGAGAAAACAAACATAGTCATAGATACAGAGAATAATTTTTGGTCATTGCCAGAAACAAAGGAGTGGGGGTGGTGGAGAGTGGATGAAATGGATGAAGGTGGTCAAATTGTTCAGACTTGCAGTTGTAAAGTGAATAAGTCATGGTAATGTATTGTATGATGACTATAGTTAATAATACTGTATTGTATCATTTGCAAGTTGCTAAGAGAGTAGATCTTAAAAGTCATCATCAAAAATGTTGTAACTGTGTGTGGTGCTGGATGTTAACTAGACTTGTGGTTATTTCATGACATATACATATATAAATTATTACTGTGCACCTGAAAGTAAGATAATATTATATGTCTGTTATAATAAGAAAAAAAAAACCACAGTAATATACAGCTTCACACTCTCTAGAATGTCTACAATCAAAAAGACAGACTACAATAAGTGTTGAGTAGAGTGTGGAACAATTAGAACCCTTATTTAGTGCTGCTGAGAATGTTAAATGGTGCATCCACTTTAGAAAATAATGTGGCAGTTCCTCAAAATGTCAAATGTTGCATGCAGATGACCCTACTCCTAGGTATATGTCCAAGAGAAATGGAAATATGATATGTTAAAGAAGCCAGTTACAAAAGGCCACGTGTTATGATTCCATATATATGAAATATCCAGAATAGGTCACTGCATAGATGCAGAAAGTAGATTAGTGGCTGTGGGGGTGGAATGGGAAGATGGCAAGAGATTGCTAATGGGTACAGAGTTTCTTTGGGGAATGATGAACACATTCTGGAATTAGATGGTGGTGATGAATGCACAATGCTGTGAATATACTAAAAACCACTGAGTCATAAACTTTAAAAGGGTGAATTTTATGGTATGTAAATTTCATTGCAATAAACTGTTTCTTGAAAAGAGTAACCCCAAATTGTGCTTTCTTGCCTCTGAAAACTTGGGATGAAACATACTTTTATCCTGTTTAAAAAAACTTTTTTTAAGGCTTATTTATTTTTGAGAGAGAGACAGAGCACAAACGGGAGGGCCTGAGAAAGAGGAAGACACAGAATCTGAAGCAACCTCTAGGTTCTGAACTGTCAGCACAGAGCCTGATGTGGGACTCGAACTCATGAGCTGTGATATCATGGCCTGAGCCATAGGCAGGTGCTTAACCGAATGAGCCACCCAGGCGTCCCTACTTTTATCCTATTTTATCTCACATCTGCTGTGTGAGTTTTACTGACAGGTCTAGATAACATGCATTTAGTGGTCTGGAGTCAGGTCTGTGGTCAGCAATCGTCCAAGTTTCCTAAATACCCTGTGCATGGACAAGACTTGTGCCCAGCTTGTGCCCAGCTTGTGCCCAGGTGACACTCAGGACTGGCAGCAATGAGGGCCAGTAACCTCTCTCACTTCAGAGAATGGTTTTTGCAGGTGAAGATTGAGGTCATTCACCAGGCAGCAGGGAAGCACCTTTGCATTTTGCCCAGCTGTTTGGCCTATAAATACACCAGTGACAAAGATTTTCAGCCTTACTATTTTGGGACATTTTAATATTAGGTTAATTTATTTATTGAGATTAGAAATAATTTTAGGAAAATAAACCCATATCTGTCACATTTATTTTTAAGAACCATATTTTTTTAATGTATTTATTTCTGAGAGAGAGAGAGAGAGAGAGACAGTGTGAGCAGGGGAGAGTCAGAGAGAGAGAGGGAGACAAAGAATCCGAAGAATCTGAGCTGTCAGCACAGAACCCGGTGCGGGGCTCGAACCTACGAACCGTGAGATCATGACCTGAGCCAAAGTCAGACGCTTAACTGACTGAGCCACCCAGGTGCCTCTATTTTTAAGAACCATCTTAAGGAACTGCAAAATATTTCATTATTCCTTGACGCCCTCTTTTTGGAAATCATTCAATTCTATACATTAGCACTTAACTGTATTTAGTGTATCTCATAATTAAAAGATTATATATGCATGTAATATACTGAAAAGCAATTCTTGTATCTTAGTTAAAAATAAAACAATCTTTTAAAAACCACCTGTGTCTAAATGACATGTTCTCAAACTTTTCTGTATAAATGTCAACTGGAACTGACTCATAAATGTGGATTATCTAGGATTCTCCCCCTAAGAGATTGGCTCAACCTGAATTTTTAGAAACACCCCAGATGATTCTGAAGAGCAAGGGTTTGCACTTTTAGAAACACTGCCGTAGGGACTTCAGCCTAGAATTAGGAAGTAATATGTGTGGTTAAAGAGTTCTTCACTTTACCATGGATAATAAATAATTTCATACGATATTTTCAGTCATTTGATGTTAGAATAGATGACATTCATACTCTTATTCTGCTATTAGAAAATAATATTTTTTCTGTGGTTTTTACTTTTTATTTTCTTTATTTTTTTTCAATTTTTTAATGTTTATTTTTGAGAGAGAGAGAGAGAGAGAGAGAGAGAAACCATAAGCAGGGGAGGGGCAGAAAGAGAGAGAGGGAGGCACAGAATTCAAAGCAGGCTCCAGCCTCTGAGCTGTCAACACAGACCCTGACACAGGGCTCAAACTCATGAACTATGAGATTATGACTTGAGCCGAAGTTGGACACTCAACTGACTGAGCCACCCAGATGCCCCTCTTTTTTTTTTTTTTAATTTAAATCCAAGTTAGTTAACTTATAGTGTAGTAATGATTTCAGGATTAGAATTTAGTGATTCATCTCTTATATATGACACCTGGTGCTCATCCCAACAAGCGGCCCTCTTAATGCGTATCACCCATTTAGCTCATTCTTCCACCCAGCTCCCTGCCAGGAATCCTCAGGTTGTTCTCTGTATATAAGAGTCTCTTATGGTTTGTCTTCCTCTCCGTTTTTATTCTTAATTTTGCTTCCCTCCCCCTCTGTTCATCTGTTTTATTTCTTAAATTCCATATATGAGTGAAATCATATATTTTTTACAAGCATAAGATCTCTAAGTAAATGTAATTGTAAAACGTGTTTGTTTTTACCACTGTCAGCTTCTTTGTTGCTGCTACACATTAATGTAGCACTGTCTTCATCTGCTGTTTCCAGATTTCATTTGACCTGGCTGAATATACTGCAGATGTTGATGGAGTTGGCACTTTACGGCTTCTGGATGCAGTTAAGACCTGTGGCCTTATCAACTCTGTGAAGTTCTACCAAGCCTCAACTAGTGAACTTTATGGCAAAGTGCAAGAAATACCCCAGAAGGAGACAACTCCTTTTTATCCTCGGTCACCATATGGTGAGAGCGCATGGGTATAAACTTGTTCATGTGCTGTGTTCTTTTGGCCTGGGGTGTGCATGTACTTCTGCTTTAATTCTGTTCCTTTCTCTCATATGGAGTCATTTGAGTATGTGATTAACACTCAGATTAGACTAAGGTGAGCAGACATTGAGAAGCATACCTTTATACACTGCTAACTGCAAGTATTTGCTACCATTGCCTCCAGGGTGAAATTACCACTTCACTTTACCAATCCATGTTCATTCAGCCTTTCCAAACAGATCACTTTGAAAGGAAAATTAGGCCCACATGACTTTTGTTTACTAAACTGTGGTGAGATTTGCTGAAGTGATAGATTTCATGTATTTTATTTTCCCAATGGACGTTTCCCTGGTTCAAACATTAAAAAACAAACAAAGAAAAACCAGGTCTGTTATAGCTAATTTTTGTAAAATAAAGTATTGTAAAAAGAGTATTAATGAAAGACTTCAGTGATAAAACTTCTAAGCATCTAGAATATTAAGATTCCTTTTTTTTTTTTTAACTTTCTAATTCCTTAAAACTAAGAAAATGGGAATAAGACCTTCGGTCTTAATATATTGCATATTCTAGTTGAGTCAATTAGATTGTGGAAGACAGAACTGTATTACAAAAGTAAAAAATTCTTAAATATTTTCTTGTACACAGGATTAACTGGCAAAGGAACCCTTATTTTATCTTTGGCTTTTAGTCATTTTTTTTCTATCTTAACATAAGTTATAATTTTTGCAAATTGTTACTTATTTAAGATGTTATAATCTTTGCAAGTTGTTACTTATTTAAGATGAGTGAAAATCACTGTCTTTTATAAGGAGACACCATCTTTTATAATAATAACTGTTTTTTATTTATTTAAAAAAAATGTTCCAACAGGGGCAGCAAAACTCTATGCTTATTGGATTGTGGTGAACTTCCGTGAGGCATATAATCTCTTTGCAGTGAATGGCATTCTCTTCAATCATGAGAGTCCTAGAAGAGGTCAGTAAATATGTTAATGGACAAGAGAATTTCAGACTTTAGCAACAACTAAAAAGTTGCATGTGGTATTCTGCATATGTACTGTGCAGACTAGGGAAAACTTCACATCTACTTTTAACTACAGTTGACCCTTGCACAAGGTTTTGAACTGTGCAGGTCTGCTTATACATCGATTTTTTACAGTACAGTACGGACAATGTATTTTCTCTAATGATGTTCTTAATAATATTTTCTTATGTCTAGCTAAGTTTATTGTAAGGATACAGTATATAATATATATAACATACAAAATATGTTGTCAATTGAATGTTTATGTTATTGGTAAGGCTTCTGATCAACAGTAGGCTATTGGTAGTTAAGTTTAGGGAAAGTCAAAAGTTAAATGCATATTTTCTACTTCATGGATGGTCACCACTCCTTACCTGTCCTCATTGTTCAAGGATCCACTATATTGTGAATGTCAGAAGTGGTAAATGAAAAAACGTTAAGCCAGCTTTAATTACTTAGTAAGTTTGCTAGATTTTTTATTCAGAAAACAACAAGCAGCCAGAAAAAATTCTTTAATTAATTTTGTGGTTCTGGGTGTTCTTAGTAGAGGGAAAAGGAAAAGGAAGATCTTAGCTATCATTGCTCACAGGCTTTGGTGTGCAGGATGCTTAAGGTATCTTTCAGTAAATGATAGTCCCTCCCTCTTTCCTTTTGTATGTTTATACCCATTGTTTGGGATTTTGTGCTTTCCCCCCTCAGCTTTTCCAACTGCAAAACAAAATAAATAAGTAATTGTTTTGGATCAGGTTAGGATTGGGAAAAACATTCTTAGTTGCAGAATGCAAAGACATAATAAAATATAACTTCCTCTCAAAAAATTCTCTATTTGCATATCTTATAACGAGAACTAATTTTTGTCTTTGTGTTATATACTTCTTTAAAATTTTTATTTTATTTGTTTTGTTAACATTTTATTTTTGAGAGCAAGAGAGAGAGAGGGAGGGAGTGCGTGCGGAAGGCCAAAGAGAGAGAGACAGAGGATCTGAAACAGGCTTCTTGCTGTGAGCATAGAGCTGATCATCGGGCTCAAACTCTTGACCTGAGCTGAAATCGAGTCTGCCGCCCAACTGACTGAGCTACCCAGGTGCCCTAGAAAAATTTATTTTAAAATTAATAACTTTTTCTTCCCTTTCATTCCCTCTCACCTGACTCCCAGCTCTGTCCTCAGGCTCACTAAAGCTCCTTCAGAAACATTCCAAGTGTATTTATCCTTAAACATATAGACAGGGTTATCCTATAAGTAATATTCTACATGTAGGGCTTTTGTTAAATATCTGTTAAAAACTTGATCTTGTAACATACACCATTCTGTTTTATTATATACTTGAAAATCACTATTTCATTTTTTGTTTTATTTAACATCAAATAATGAAAAATTATAGGGGTATATGTAGAAATGATATAATATTCATTAGGATTTTTAATAGTTAACACTTGAAGCATTTTTTGAACTTGAAAATTAATTTTAATTTTAACTTAGTCCTACAATAGTTTTATTGTTTTTGCACAATTATTTTTATTTACTAACCTTTTCCAAGAAGATTCTTTGCCATACTGAGAATTCCTTAGTGGTAGGACTATGTTATATTTTTGAATCTTCAGCTTATAAAACAGTACCTCTCTGCTAATAAATATTTTTAAATGAATGAATAAATGAATGAATGTCCCATGTTTTAGTAAAACTTTATTGAGGTGAAAGCTAGGCAGTCCAAATCAGAGAATAGGAATTTATATAAAAGTTTTAAATAAATGTTCTTTTACTTATTTCATGCATAAGGGTGACCAAAGACTATTCTGAAGTAAAGATTAACACTGATATACTTTCATAAACAAATAAAATTCATTTCCAATTAATAATCTTAGTCTGTATGCCTGTAATTGCTGTAGTACTTTAAGTTAATTGTCTTAAGTAGGTTGAGCATTTATACTTCAGTTCTCTTTTAACCTGTTATCATAGTGATCAAATAAAATACTTTTTAAAAAATTTTTTAGTGTTTATTTATTTTTGAGAGAGAGAGAGACAGAGCATTGGTTGGGGAGGGGCAGAGAGGGAGACACAGAATCCAAAGCAGGCTCCAGGCTCAGAACTATCAGCCCAGAGCCTGATGCGGAGCTCGAACTCACAAACCGTGAGATCATGACCTGAGCCGAAGTCGGACGCTTAACCGACTGAGCCACCCAGGCTCCCCTAAAATACTTTTTTTAAGTGTTTATTTATTTTTTTTGAGAGAAAGTGTATGAGATGGGGAGGGGCAGAGAGAGGAGACAGAGAATCTGAACCAGCCTTAGCGTTGTCAACTCAAAGACTGATGCAGGACCCAAACCCAGGAACCATGAGATCATGACCCGAGCCTAAGTTGGACACTCAACTGACTGAGCCACCCAGGTGCCTAATACATTTTTTAGTGCAGTGGTAAACTTCAATCTAGTCCTATGCTATATATCACAAATATAGTAGAGCCTAGACTGATGCAGCCTTTTTGGGGATATGTGCTTTTTTTTCTAATGAAAAATAATGACAAGGCACCTTTTGACTGCAGGAATAGTATTCTGTGAGAAATTCTAATTTTAAAAAGTATAGAAGAAGAGTTTTTCAATATAAAGATATTCTAGACCAGAGGTTGGCAAATAATGATTCATGGGTCAAATCCAACCCACTAGCCTATTTTTATATATAAAAAAAGTTTTATTGGAGCACAGCCATATCCATTTGTTTGTATATTGTCTGTGGCTGCTTTCACAGTAGAGTCCTGTGGCCTGCAAAGCCTAAAATATTTGCTGTCTGGCCCTTTTAGAAAACATTTGCTGGCCCCACCTTTAGAATAATTAGTTTCTTAACATCAAGAAATTTCAGTTGGTTTCACATTTCTCCCAAGGTAGCAAGATAATCTTATGCAAAAGATTTCTTATAAATATTGAAGTCAAAGAGAATCAGTAGGTAATCTGTCCATTAACAAAATTCTGAAGTGTTTGGTCAGTTAGGGTTCTGTTATGCTTTATTGAAGCACTAAGGTGTGGATCCAAATAAACTAACAACTGACTGAAGATCTGTAGCATAGTTCATTACAGCAACCCTCCCTCCTGAGTTTGACACTTTTTCATATTTTTTATTGAGTCATATGTCTTTTCTCTATTCCAAATTATTTGTGGTTTTCTTTTTAAGTGCACTTATTTTGCTTTGTTATGAGAAGACCATAATTCCTCTAAAGATAGTTGGGATCACCTGTGTTTGGTATCGAATTAAGAATTGGAAATTATTGATGTAGAGAATAAAGCCGGTAATCAAAGATTTGGTCTTTTTTTCGCTCAGTCAACCATGTAGTCATTCTTTCAATTAAGGCAAGATGGTTGATATGTTCATGCTTTAGGTGTGCTTATTTTATAAAATAGAGGGACTTTAGTAATATTTACTACAAATTAATAATGAACAGTAGTTAAACTTCCATAAAGGAATGAAAATGTGTGGTATGTATCATATGCTCTGGGAGTAACTACTATGTTTTATATGACAATATCCACAGATATTTACTAGGTACTTTTGCTCATAAGCATTCAACTATGTATTATTTTTTTAATTAAAGGGGTAGTTGCTTTATGAATAACTTGCAGAAAACAAGACATCTATCTGAAAACCTTTTTCCTCTCATATTGTTTCTCCAAATTTGAATTCTCTATTTCCTTTGCATATCTCTATATATGTACATAAATACAGCATTCTGTTTGCTACAAATGTGGTGAATGTAGCTATAGTGACACTTTTCTTTTGGAAATACAGATTTGTATATTTTCTATTAAGGAAATAAAACCTGTGTTTATTGTCTAGCACTCTTAAATTCTCTGAGGAAAATGTCATGTATAAAAAAATCTTTCAGCTTTTGTTGCTAAGTGTTTTTGAAAGTCCAATCAGTTAATAAGACTGATGTCATAAAGCTATTAACTATATAAATTAAACTATGGAAAATATTGAGAAATTTTTTTAAATATTTTATTTATTTTTGAGAGAGAGAGAGAGACAGCATGAGCAGGGGAGGGTCAGAGAGAGAGGGAGACACAAAATCTGAAGCAGGCTCTAGGCTTTGAGCTAGCTGTCAGCACAGAGCCCGATGCGGGGCTTGAGCCCACGAACTGTGAGATCATGACCTGAGCTGAAGTCAGATGCTTAACCGACTGAGTCACCCAGGCACCCCGAGAAATTTTTTAATTACTTTAAAGTATTTTGCACCTAAAGACATTAGAATTTCTTTTCCAATATATTGTTTATCAATATAAGAGATTTTACAATCTCTTAAGTTTAAGGTTGTTCTATTACTCAGAACATTAAAACAAGGCTATTTGTAAAGCTAATGGTAATATTTCTAGTTCTGATTGTTTATTAATTTAGAAATAAAGTAACAGGAATTCCTACTATTCATCACCTAGATAATAAAACCATTTTGATAATTATATTTTATTCTTATATTAGCTGACTACTTTTTCATGTCACAAATTTACTGACCTTTAAAAAATTATAAATAACATTAATATTTATAAAATACTATATTGAAAAAAGCATATTTTACATGATCTTCAAGAGTGAACAAAGAAAGATATCCTACCTTCTAGTTTCAGATTAGAAAATTCAAATGATTAAACTTGACTTGATTTTCTGACTTTAATGACTGTAGCCATCATGATTAAAAGTGAAATGCACATAATATTGAGCATTCTTTGTTTGTGACTTTTCTATTTTCAGTAGGAGTGTAGAAATAGTGTCTAATATCTTACAGCTAAGTAATGGTGTAGGTTTCTGAGAGACTTCCCAGAGTCTATGTCCTTGAGGAGAAAACCCACACTAGGAGTGTGTTCCATGAAAGTTCTCTGCTGTCTGGTATCTACAGGTGTGGCTTAAGTTTCTTCTGGTTCACAGTGGTGGGGCCCATTGACTTTTGACCCTCACTTGGATGACACTGGTG